GAGAGGAGAAATGACAGCATTGTGCCCTGACCCTTACGCAGGGTTTCTTCTTCCACTTGCCCTTAACTTCCTCACAGTCTTTGTCTTAATCCAGAGCTGAAGGCCCAGCTCACATAGGAACATGGAATACTCATAAGAAATCCTCACTCATTTTTCCAAAGGCCCTCAGGTTCACACGGTCACACACTCTGCTGAAACCTGGTCTGGTTATTTTTAAACCTAGTTCTGTGCTTTGTGTCCAACAATCACCACCCCCATGACCCCCACTCCCTGGGGACCCATTCCCTTCCGCCTCCAGGCCCATACCTTCCCCCACCCCAAGGCCAGAGATTCTTGATGAATGAGCCTGGCTCTCAGCTCCAGATTCCAGGCAGGGACGGATTTCCCAGTGGTTATCTGATGCTCAGTCCTCAATGGAAACAATGTGTGGCCTCCGGAGGCCTGGGGCCCCCCTGCTCCTCACCTCTCAGTTGGGGCTCCCATCTGCCTCTAGACCTCTCCTCCTGTCTCAAACCCCCAGGCTTCCCTCGGTCTCCCCAGTCCAGTGTCTCTCACCCCCTTTTCCTGTCTTCAAGTCTCCTGGACTCTCCCTTCGAAGCCTAGAGCACCTCCAGTTCCCTCACTGTCTCCCACCTGGAAGGCACGTACTCACGTGAAGCATGTTCCTCACTGTCAGCCTCAGGGAGGGAAAGGAGACAGCTGGATTCAGCCCCAAGGCCTAAAATCAGGCAGTCCAAGAGCCAAAACCCTTCACACTTTTGATACTGGTGCTCTGTGTACCCTTGGGCAAGTCACATCCCGCCTCTGGGCCTCAGTTTCCCAGTGTGTAGAAGAAAGAAGGTGGACTAGCTAATCCTTAGGCTACCTCCTAGCTCTGACATTCTATGATTCTGTGATGGGTTCTCACCCTGCTGTGAGGTTACTGCTCCCCAAATAATCAAGCTGATTTGTATGCCACATTCATGCATCTAGGTCCTAGAAATGTACACACATTCCTGCCACCCAACCCCCACCTAATTCTCATCCATAACACCCAGAGACCCAGACTAAGAAAACAAAAAGTGGGGCCTGTTTGGAGAAGCCAGAAGCCCCCACCCTTTCCAGACTCTTCTCCTTTTTGCTTCTCTATTGCCAGGCACTTGAGACTCCAGAATGGGAAACTCGCTTTGATGTTGGCCAAGCAACATGGCAGCCCAGGTCAGCCCACCTGTGAGGTCAGCAGGGACTGGAAGTCAGAGAATAGGGCTGGGTGTGTAGCAGAGGGGGAAGGAAGGACCCGAGAGGCAGGTGAAGGGGATTTCTGGGCATTTTGAAACCCAACTACTACCATGCAAATGAGATCAGCACAGCATGCAAATAGACAGAATTGAGTTGAGACAGACAGGGTGGGGGCACAAACAGCTTGGCCCTGGAGCCCCAGCCAGGGATAAGGGCTTCCTCTGGAAGGAGCAGGACGGCTGGAGGAGGCTACAGTTGGGGCAGGGGGCCCTGTGTGCCCAAGCCAGCAGGGGTGGGGATTAAGGCCCGACGCCCTGCTGTCAGGTTAGAGCTGATGGATCACCACTGGTGGCCGAGCACAAAGGCTGTTCTGTGCTTGGCACCAATGTGTTCCCATCCATCAGAGGGCAGCCTGCATGGGGTGGACGAGTGTGCAGGGGAGGAAGGCCAAGCCCCTAGATGCGGCTGCTCCACAGCGCAGCTATGAAAGAGGAACAAGGTGGGTAGAGGACCAATCCCCCCATCAGGGTTCTGAGGTCAGAGATGCCTGGGCCACTCTATCTTCTCAGTCCTAGGATGGTCTGTGCCCCACAGCTAGGCCCTGGCATGGTCCTCAGGCCACTTACATGGACAGACATTCACAAACACATCTACAGACAGGGCTTCATTGAAACCCAGACACAGAAGATCACCCTAACCTTCCAGCTCTGCCCTCACCCTTGGTTAGAGACGAACATCACACACACAAGGCCAAACTCACACCTCCACCAGAGAGTAGGCACTGAGCCTATTTCCTGCTCTCACCCAGGTCCGGCCCCAGCCCCGGGGACTGACGCAGAGTGGGCCCCTAGGAAAATGGGTTCAGCCAAGGAAGGGGCATAGTTAGTAAATTCTTTCTCTGGATTATAGCATGGCACTTTTTACCAGCTAACACTGCCTACCTTCGTTAGATAACTTTGTGTACTCCTCTTCCTTACTCAACGGTGACTATGCTGCAGGCAGAAAGACCACCTCTTATTCACATCGGTGACCCCAACACCTAGCACAAGGTGTGCAATACATGTTTCTTGATTGAAAGAGTGAGTGAATAAATAGATACACACCTGGGGTAGGGCCAGGTTTTCCCTCCCCCACTCCTGCTCTTCTGGTCCCCTGGAGGCGGTGACAGCCAGGGCAATAGCCTGGGATACAGGCCAGGAGTGGAGAGGACAAAGCAAGGAAAGGGACCGATATTTATCGGATGTTTCCATGTGCCAGGTGCTCTTTCATTACTACAACGACCATGGTCCTCTCGCACACACGCGCACGCACGCCCTCTGCCAGCTGAAACACGCTCGCTCTCCTGGCGGAATCCATCCTCCCGCCTCTGAGTGGGTTGCTCGAACCTTCAGCACCTCACTCCTGGATCACTGCTATGGTTTTCTATGGCCTCAGCTTTCGAGTCCGCCCATGTCCAGCTGGGCCTCCTCCCATCTTTACAGACTTGTCGAATCGCCTCCTTACTGGAAGCCCGAGAGCTGTGCAAACCCTCTGCCCAGAGCCACCTTCCCCTCCTCTCTTCTCATCTAAATCCCACCTGTTCTCCAGGAGCCAGCCCAGCACTCTCCTCCTCCTCAAGCCTTCCACGGAGACCAGACTTTGGTGATTTTGACTTTCTATAAACTCCCGAAATGCTGGGTTGATGAGCCCACTCATTTGCAATCGATCACGGCCCCCATGTTTCCTGCTGAATTAAAATAGCTCTCTCTTACATTACAGTTTAACATTCACATTTCGGCGTCCATGCTCGCCAACTAGATAGTAAGATCCTGGAAATCAGAACAAGCCCAGCTTTCCTGCTTCCATTTTTAGAGGATGTGAACACCTGTTTAGGGGCAAGACAGATTGTATCCCAAAAGGACCAAACGATGCAATTTTTCGGTTTCCATAGTAACTTCCACATCACTTCTTTCCTCAGGGCTCATAGGACTAGGGTGTAAACCGAGGCAAGGTTTTTCTTTTCTCTTTGCTTGGCGGGATGTGTGTTAGAAATAGCACTTCTTCTTCAGCCCAGCTGGTCAAAGCAGGGTCAAAGCAGGGTTGAGAATCCAGAGCCCCCCTGCTGCCACACTGGGAAGGCCAAGAACCCAATGAAGACCTCACTGCTTCCCTCAACATGCTTGGGTTTTTTTTATTGCCCAGCTGCGACCCCTCCTCATCTCTGGTCCCGACCCCAAACAGACACCAGCCCTTTCCTGGCTCCTCACCATAAATCATGAGCGGCAAGAAAGCCGGCTCCTTCAAGCTCCATATGGGTCTCACCACCCCTGAGAAGTCCTCTCTGAGTCCCCAGCACCATTCCTCCTCCTCTTATTGCCACCGGTTGGAACTTACAACATCAATCTCAAATGTCAAGTGGAGGAGGGATCAGACTTAATCCACAGGACCCTAGAGAAAAAACGGGCCCAAAGGATTTGGGGGGAGCACATCACAGTCCAAAATCCAGAAGGCCTCCCTGTGGCCAGGGCTGCACATCAGTGAAACGAGCTGCCCTGTGAGGTCAGCAACAGCTGGACAGTGGCCACCCGTGAAGGGGATTCAGGCATCATGGGTTGGCGGGAACTAGGTGACCACTGGGGTCTACTAATGGTCAGGTCCTTGAGGGCAGAGACCCTGCCTGGGGCATCCCTGTAACTCTTCAGCCCTACGGCTGAGCTTGTTCACTGCTGGTCTCTCAGGCCAGGCCACAGTCTTGGGAGCATTGGTCCTCTCAGACCCCAAACCCTCTGCTGAGAGGTGACCACGGACTGAGAAGCCTGAAGATGTAGTTGTCCTTCCTCCCACCGACATTTGAGACCTACATGCTACGTGTAAAACTGATGGCTTAGACGAGAAGATGCAGAACCACCACACCAGGTGATCAAGGAGAGGCGAGATTCAAAGTGAGTCTGGAGGGCTCTGCTTTCTCTCCCTCCCACCCCACCCACAGTAAGCAGCCAGGAGAAGCTGGGTGCCCAGATGGGACAGTAAACAGAGTTGAAGAGGCAACACAGAAGGACGGATAAATGATCCAGAGGGAGAGAGGGAGGAGACAGAGGATTTAATAGATCCTGACCTTGCTCCTGCGGGGAAGGTGGCGAGGGGTAGCCTGTAAGTCCTCATTCTTGCTCTGCCCCTGACCAGCTTTGTCAAAGGGAAAACTTCTGACCCCTGCCAAAAGGACCAAAAAATTCTTCTTGCCTCAATTTCCCCCGTTACAGGAGACCTATGAGACCTAAGATGTCCAGGCTGCTTTGGAAACCCAGAAGTCCAGGTTCCTTCTCACCCTGGACATTGAGCCCCCAAACACGCCCCGAATTTGAAGTGGTCTCATGCTTCTGATGGATGGATGCTGGTTAAGTGCTGTCAGGAGGCAGGGGGATGGACACATTGACTTCTTCAGTCCCCTTCCAGCCTGAACCCTGCCCTTCCTTGTTCCCTCCCCTCAGCTCCCCCCCCCCCCACACACTTCTTTGGGACTAGCAAGGGGAAAGCAGGCAGGCCGCCTGGCTAGGAGTAATTGAAAGGAGCAGATGAGAGGAGAATGTGTGTCCTCCCCCACCTCCCCTGCCCCACGGGGGCTGCTGAGAAATGAAAACTAATCAAATTACACCGACGGCCTCCCTCCCCGTGCACAGGAGCCAGCCCAGGCTGGGGCAGGCAGGCTGGGGGGTGTGGGGGGGGTGGGGGCTGGGGGGAGAGGGAAGGGAATCACATCTAATCCACTGTAAACGTCTTGATGTGCAGCAACAGCTTAGGGGGGGCTCAGGTTTCTGCGGCATTGGCTATATTTATCTCTGGTTCCATGCCAGCAGGGAGGGTTTAAATGGCACCCAGCAGTTGGCGTGAGGGGCTGCAGGAGCTTGGGGGCCAGTGGCAGGAACAAGGCTTTTCCGACCCCATGGAGCTCTATGAGACATCCCCCTACTTCTACCAGGAACCCCACTTCTATGACGGGGAGAACTACCTGCCCGTCCACCTCCAGGCCTTCGAGCCGCCAGGCTACGAGCGGACTGAGCTCAGCCTGAGCCCCGAGGCCCGAGGGCCCCTCGAGGACAAGGGGCTGGGGACCCCCGAGCACTGCCTGGGCCAGTGCCTGCCGTGGGCGTGCAAGGTGTGTAAGAGGAAGTCAGTGTCAGTGGACCGGCGGCGTGCGGCCACACTGAGGGAGAAGCGCAGGCTCAAGAAGGTGAATGAGGCCTTCGAGGCCCTGAAGAGGAGCACCCTGCTCAACCCCAACCAGCGGCTGCCCAAGGTGGAGATCCTGCGCAGCGCCATCCAGTACATCGAGCGCCTGCAGGCCCTGCTCAGCTCCCTCAACCAGGAAGAGCGGGACCTCCGCTACCGAGGCGGGGGCGGGCCCCAGCCAGGGGTAAGTGGCTGTCCCACCCAGGTGCCCCAGGGGGAGGGGCACAGGAGGCACCTAGACGGCCTGGGGACCCGAGCATGGGGCTCAGTCAGAGAGTTGGAGTAGGTGGCAGGTGGGATCTTACAGGGGCCACAGGACCCCCTCCTTTGTCAGAGCTGGGCTGTCCGGTTGACCTCCGGTGTCCCTTTGTCCTTTCAGGCCAAGCTAAAGGCAGTGGGGAGAAGCAAATGTGGAGGGGGGTGGCAGAGGATCGAAGGAGGGATCCAAGAGCAAGTCCAGAGTCAGCCTGGGTGGGAGTGAGAATTAATCCCAGCGCCTGGGGATGGGGCCTGAAAGTGGCCAAGTGCCGCTTTGTACCCCCCGCCCCACACCATCCTGTGTAGGTGGCTGAGCAGAGAGAACACCTACCCAGTGTCTCTCCCAGAGCCCCAGCCAGCCTGCACCTGCTTCCTTCACCCTTATCCTCCACCCTTATCCTAGGGTCAGGAAAACCAGGGACCCCTTGATCCTGGGTGTCCTGCCAGGACAGACTCACCACCCAGGATGGAGGACAGGAAAGGCCTGGAAGCAGGGGCTCCGGTGGCCAGGCGGGGGCATGAAAGTTGCTGATTGTGAAGATCCTGAGGCTGGGGGTGCCCTGGGCTGGAGGGCTGCAGCTTATGTGCCACCCTCCAACCCCACAATGGGGGCTTTTGCTCATTGGAACTGGACAGAGAGACACCACCAAAAATGGCCTGTGCTCTGACCTTGGGCCTTCACCCTGTCTTGCAGGTGCCCAGTGAATGCAGCTCCCACAGCGCCTCCTGCAGTCCAGAGTGGGGCAGCACACTGGAGTTTGGCCCCAACACAGGGGGTAAGTGAGACCCTCACCCTCAGAACTTTGGCTCAACCCCATCAGCCTGTCTCTGGGCCCAGTTGCCTCCTTTTACCTTACTTCTGCTCCAGCCCTCTTCCTTTGGTCTCTCCGGGGAACTGCTGAGCCCGGGGCCCCAAATGGTGGGCCACAAGGCCCTGTGCCTCCTCGAGACCTTGACCAGCTAAGGAGCAGTCTAGGCCTCCTACAGCTCCCCAGCCCGTGCCTGGGGCCTGACCTTCTCCCTGGAGAGGAGAATGTCTCTGCCCCAGGGGTCCCTGGGAATTGCTGAGTCAGTGCAGCGTGACTGGGCCAGCAAAGGGCAGTTCCAGTCTCCAGGATATGCCGTCCTGGCTCCACCTCGGAGTAGTTGCTTTCAAATTCTAACCCAACTAGGGGAGTTCAGAGAGGAGGCACGCGCGTTCATTGTACACACGCATGGCACTGGGAAAGGCATGGGCTGGGGAGTAGGATTCTTGAGTTGTGTTCACCTATCTGTCCGGGAAAACCTGTGTCAGCCCCAAAGAGCTCACTCCCTGTCCTGGGTCTTGAAAACCCCTTCGCCACCCAGGTAACATCCTCCCCCCTTCTCCTTACAGATCACCTGCTCACGGCTGACCCTACGGATGCTCACAACCTGCACTCTCTCACCTCCATTGTGGACAGCATCACCGTGGAAGATGTCTCTGTGGCCTTTCCCGATGAAACCATACCTAACTGAGACCGTCTGCCAGGCCGGGTGTCCGTGGGACCCCCACGCTGGCCACAGACGCCACCACCTCGGCAGCATGGGCTTCCTAAGCCAGGCTGTCCTGATGCCGGAAAGCCAGCCCTGGGGCTGCCAAATGCCAGACTAGCCCCTTCCTCCTCCATATAAGGGTAACTCGCCACCCAGAGAGGGAATGGATGCTCTCATTTAGCTGACTCCTTACAGCAAGGAGCATCCTGTTTCCAGGGAGATAAAGCAGGGGACCAGAGTGCCCCTCGCGTGGGCCCCGTCAAGGGGGCAAACTCAGGAGCTTCCCTTTGTTCATAATGCAGCCAATTCCACCCCCTCAAGAGAAACAGCCTGAGAGCTGAAGACCGTGTCCTAAGCAGGACGGGCTGTGTACATGTCCTGTTCTTGTCTCTTCCCGATGCCAGTGGCTGGGCTGGGCCTGCTCTGAATCGAGGGAGAAGAAAGGGAGAGGAACAATCCTCTGTTCCCAAGTCCCTGGGGGGCCAAGCTTTTGCAGTGAATCCTGGGAACCTTCCAGTGGTTTTATGTTTTGTGTTGTTTGTAAAGCTGCCATCTGACCAAGGTCTCCTGTGCACAAGTTGCCAGGGACAGGCAGGGAGGGGGGCAGGGGCTCTCGGGGTGATTTCTTTTCTTAACTAAGCATTGTGTGGTTTTGACATTGTTTTGTAATTTTTTTTTTTTTTGCTAACTTATTTGGATTTCTTTTTTAAAAAATGAATAAAGACTGGGTGCTAGAAGAGCGTCTGTGATGATGTGGAGGGAGGGGGTGGCCACCGCTCCTGCCCCCCCCCTCGGTGGTGCAAACAACCCCCTCAGGTGCCTCCTAAGGACTGGACCTGGTAGGGTTCCAAAAGCAGCTCCCAAAGACAGCTGAGCAGCTATCTTGCTGGTGGTCACCATGTGCTGGGAGCCCTGCTCTTTTTACCACCATGAAGGAAGCTGGGTGTGGTCCACCGGCTGGGTGAAGACCAGATCCACAAACACCCCGAGATCCAGAGGAAAGCCTGGCCAGCATTCTGTGGCACGCTTCCTTACTCATGGACACTGCAACAGTCTATGTGCTCCGTCTTAAATCCCAAGAGGTCCAGTCCCTTCCAACTAATGAACATGCTCTCTGGCCAGCACTCATCCCACCACCAGCAGGCGGGGTTATAGAGTGGGAATTTGTGGGTTTCCCCTCCCTAATCCCTGCCTCTCCTCTGGTGTGACATTACCAGGGGCCTTGCAGGAAAGTGGGAGGTGAATAAATCAGCGTGATTGACGTCAGACACTGTCCATTCCCTGCAGGCCAACCAGCATGTCCCCCTCGCCACACCCTTCCATCTCTCCAGGCTGAAGGGGATCCTGGCCCCCTGCCCACAGTTCAGAGGATGAAGGCAGTTCTGCTGGGGGCAGAGGGAGGGCCTCACAAAGAACAATCAAAGGAAGAGAAGCTGGGGTTCTCTTCATGGGATGCTGTATCTTCCAACTACTGGCTGAAGGGAGAAGGTGGGTGGAAAATTGAGAAGATTCTGGACATAAATTACATAAGGACTAGCTGGGGAGATAGCAGGAGCTAGAATTTGAATGGACCATGAACATCTACTAAAAATTTTATTAACTCCAACTGCTTTAGGCTGAATTTGTCTGATTTCTTGCCAATTATAAGTTTCAGAATCATTACAGAAGTCTGGGGATTCGGAGCGTGATACATTCTAGCCCCCACCCAATTCTTCCGGGCCCCTGTTTGGGACTTCGCCCAGTTTAAACTTCCAGGCTCTGGGACCCATTCTGCACTTGCTCTGGGCTTAGCGGGACCATCTCTCCCATATCTGCCCTCCAGACTTGCTCCTGAAGAGGGCTGTCAACTCCCCACTCCCAGAAACTCTGCCTAAGGAAGAGAAGGAGGAAGCCCCAGAGTAGGCTCACAGGCCAAGGTGAGGGTGCAGAAGGGAGCAGCCCCCCGCCCCAGGGCCTATTTGTCTCCAACAACCAGTCAGGGTTAGGCCTATTGGGAGTCACAGACTGGCTTCATCTGCCCTATCTGTGGGGTTTTCTTCTTGAGTCTGTGTCCCTGTGTTTACAGTCTCACCTTCTTGGAAGGGCCGGAGAGGAATACCTACGTCATTTGCATGACTCTTAGCTCCCCCTGACTCACTGCCCTTGGAGATGAGGAGATCCCCACAAGCCTGGGTGCAACACCTTGGCTCTCAAGTCTACATTCACTCCCTTACTATCCACTAAAAACACTAAACTACACATTCAAAGGGGGGGGTCTGCTCCCCTCAAGTTCATTTCCTCTGTCCCTGGTACCTCCCAAGCTCCTAGGTGGATACAATCCCACCACCTTCAGTTGCCCTGCTTCTCACTGGGGAGCTAGGGGCAGTAAAGGACAAGCGTACTCGTCTCTACTACACAGCTGATAGGCTCTGGAGTGGCTGACATATTTTCTAAGTTTATTCTTCTTCACTCATCACGTCAATTGGAAACTGAGGTTCATATTCCTAACCTGGTTAGAATGAACAGTCCTCAGTAATGGCCACCAGGGTCAACTGTTCCTGATCATTGTCAGGGGTGGCCATTGTCTACCTATTTCTTCTTTGGTCTTGAAGTCCTTAAGCTTCCCACCAGAGCGACAAGCTGCTGGGATCTCAAAGGTGTGAACAGCAAACTTTGCCAAATGGAAGCCCAACCTCACCCATTATTTGCACAGAATAAACGACTGTCATCAAAGCACTGAGCCTTTCCTAAAATAAATGCTTAGCCTTCACAATTAAATTACAGATAAGACTCCAATTAATGAATAATGAGTGGTAGTTCTTTAGGGAAATTAGCTTAAATTCGGTCTCCAGTGGAAGTACCTGCAATAAATCAAACCGGGTTAATCAAATGTTACCTAATAATGGACTTCAGGGAATCCTCTAGAACGTAAAGATAAGAATTACTGGGAATTGGCATCCCAGTTGTCAGTGTGTAAATAGGAACTTCTTAGAGTGTTTAGCTAATTAGCGTGAACTGCAGAATGCTTCCAGTACCATTGGTTGCTTAGGTATCCAACTTTTCAAGGTCATCTATCTGGTCAACTAGAAAACGATTTCAGTGCTGCCGGTATAGTAGCTGGTAGGACCACCTGGAGAGGGAGGTGGAGGGGGACAATGGAAGGTGAGAGGAGAGGAGCCCCCTCAAATCAGGCGTCTGTTGCATGGATAGAACCCTATCACCAACATGTCACATCCCTTGGACTTGTCTGACTTCCTGGCTTCTGGGCTCCAGGCTGGAGCTGAGGTGCCTGGTGGTGCACCAAAGCTCAAGAAGGACTGAAGGTTCCAGGTTCGGCTGGGGTCTTGGCTAAGGACCCATAGGCCAGGCCTGGGTGGGAACCCCAAATCTCCACCCCATGGCAATTCTGGCTGTGCCTCTCCTCCCAGCCACAGGCAACCACCAGACACAGACTCTGCCTCTCACTCTGCCTGGAACATTCCTAAGGGAGGCAAAGGAAAGTGCTCTAGAAAAGAAATCTGGAATCTTCTTTCTTTTCTACAAACGCTGACAGAAACAGGATGTTGGGGTCTCATCTCAAGTTCAGCATGTCTATAACTAAACTCCCATGTCCACGTACGCTCGCTCCTTCCACATTCCCCATCCCAGTGGATGGCAACACTGGGAAACAGTTTTCAATCCAAAAAAAAAGTTTTTCTGGATTCTTTCAGATCTCATCCTGTAGCTAGCTGGCCACCACGGCTGGTCAATTCTACCTCCGTGGAGTGGGTGGGAAGGGACCCGCAGAGGCTTGCAGGCCCTAGGCCAGCACCTTCCCTCCTCTGTGTGCCCTTCCTGGGTCACAGGTTGCCTTGTCTTGCTCCCATCCTGTCACCTGTGCCCATGGACCCTGCCACCCTGTGCCATCAGTGTTTGGGACAGTGGTAGCCCTGGAAAGAATTTGGTGGGTTTTTTTGTTGTTGTTTTTTTAATTTATTACATTTTCTATTTTATTTTTTTAATTTTGTTAAAGATCTTTTTTTTTTTAAAGATTTTATTTATTTTTTAGAGAGCGAGCAAGAGAGAAACAGCATGAGAGGGGAGAGGGTCAGAGGGAGAAGCAGGCTCCCCGCTGAGCCGGGAGCCCGATGCGGGGCTCGATCCCAGGACCCTGGGACCATGACCTGAGCCGAAGGCAGCCGCTTAACCATCTGAGCCACCCAGGCGCCCAGGATTTGGTGTATTATGCTGTTCTCAAGGAGTCCACAGTTTAGGTGAGCAGAAGAAACATAGTCCACAGAAGCCAAGTGCCACATGAGTGTGGGTTTGGGAAAGGGAGCTGGGGCAGGGGGGGCCAAGGGGCAGAGGCTTGAGCTCACTTAAAACAGAAGCAAATAAAAGAGAGAGAGAGAGAGAGAAGCAAGTAACATTTGGTAGGGAGTCCTGGCACTGGGTCAGAAGTTTTAACATACATATTGTAGTAAAAGGACAAGGCACTGCAGTCAGAAGACTTAGCTTGGGAACCTACATCTGTCTCTCACCAGCTGTGTGGTCTGAGCCTTACAATTTCCTGTTCTGCAAAACAGCCAAGATAACACATCTCAGGGCTGTGAGGATTAAATGAGCTAATACATTGAGCATGCTTAAACGGTATCTGGCACACAATAGTTCCCAGTAAATTTTACTTTATTTAATAATAATCCTCCTAAAAACCCTCTGAGATAAGGTTGATTCATTTATTCACTCGAGTGTGTCCATCTAGGGACCCGAAGATCAATAATTCAGACCCAAGGGCCTTCCTCACAGCCCCCTGTGGGAACGGACGAGGAGAAGACTGCCTAGCATGGTGGGGTGCCGAGTGCCAGGGAGCAAAGGGTCGTTGCTTATCTAGTTCGGCTGGGGAGGGCCTGGTCATGCCTCCCAGGTGATGTTCCAAGTGGGTCTGGAAGGTTCGTTGCTGCAAAGGGAAGGCGAGAGGCACTCGTGTTGCCTTCTGGTGTTGGGGCTGAGGGACTGACATTTCT